ACTTGAATCTACGGATTCTATTATTTAATTAATTAGAATATTAATTCAATTAAATAATAGATATTGCCATATATATGCATTGATTATACATATTCAAAGTGTTTATGTCCAAAATTGATTGGACCTAGGGCATAACACTTACACTACTTAGGAATGGGGACAAGACCTAACCTCTGAATGATGATAAAATCAGGAATTGTTTGAGAGCCAAGAACTGAAACAAGACCAAACATAGAAATAAAAAGGGCCCAGGAAGGGAGCTGCGAGACAAAAGGACAATGATTAAGAGTAGAACATAAAGCAACAACTTGGCTCCGTGGGGTATCATTTTTTGTGCTAGCAATAACTTTATTAATCAAGGTATCCTAGAAGTTTCATGATTGTCATGGACACGATGTAGGAAAGCTATGTGGTGGGTGTGTGTATATATATATATATATATCTTAGAAGATCCTTTTTTAATAGATGCTCTTGGGTTATTCAATATTTTCCTTATGCAACAATTTTATGAAAATATAATATTCTGGTGGGGTTTATTGAGGTCTCTTGACTGAAGAAAGGAGAAGGCTATAGCAAGGTATGTGAGCAATGAAACTATATAACACCTTGAAGTTATTTGCTTAGATGACAGATATTGAACTATTTCATCTAAAAGCTTCCGTTTTTACTTTGGGACTCATTTTTTAATTTAAATTTAGTTCTCAAGATGCCTCCTCAGGTGCACGCTGGATTTTATTTTCATCAAATTAAATGTGCAAAAATTTTCATAAATAGGTGGCAACGAGACTTGAATAAAATACTTTTGCATGCTTTGATATCACGTTCAACTACCACATTTAAAAGTTTAAACTCTTAGAGAAGGAACCCATTTTATATCAAATTTATTTCTCAACACCATATACATTAAAAATCCACGCCCGCTGTGCTGCTGATATATCCCTACAAAACTCTCCTTGACAGCGTATGTACACATGCCACTCATACTGTGTAAATTATCTGCAAAAATGCTGTCTTAACTGTTATCAAATTACGATTCCGTTTTATATTTAACCAACCAAATAATATTTTTTCTGTTGTTCACAGATATGATTGCACCGATAGTAGTTGGTGTACTAGCTAGCTTAGTGGGCTATGCTTATCTAGCACTAAGACCTCCCCCTCCCAAAGTCTGTGGTTCGCAAGGTGGCCCTCCTGTGACTTCACCCAGAGTCAAACTAAGTGACGGAAGGCATTTAGCCTACAAAGAGAGGGGCATTGCCAAGGAAGTAGCAAAACACAAGATCATCGTTTCTCATGGAGCTGGTGACTCTAAAGACTTCCATTTACCAATTTCTGAAGTATGAAAAATCTATCTTGCTTAAGTTGCAATGCCTTTCCATGTTTGTCTAAGCTTAAAAGTAAGTTACCACGCAAAGTCCTAGGAAATTGGCAACATTGGAATGAGAATACTGTAATAAAATATTTTTTGTCTTTTGTTGCATAGGCTTCTTCTCTTGATGTTACCCATTCGTTTCATACATTACCTTTTTATCCTGTTTAACCGATTTGTGTACCCTATGTAGGACTCGAACCTCATATGCAATAAATATGCAGCCTTTGTTTCAAACCACATAATTTTTTTTTTTTTATTCCTGTCGAAATTCATTTTAAAAAAATATATGCAGAGGATCAATGAATCAGTGAAAATAATCATTCGAAACTATTATGTTAAACTTTCCTACACCAATTGATGAATATTAGATAGTGTTCCTCGAACGTAATAATGTTCAAGCTTAGAGATTATCACCACTCAATATGTCATGAAAATTCTTCTGTACAAAATTTTTATTGCATTTGCTGTCAGCTTAATCACACATTTTTCTTCATCTCCTTTTAACTGGCTCGGCTCGTTGATTTGCAAGTTTCTTAGCTTATCACAACATTTCTTCTCTTTGTCTCTTCTTTACAGGAACTATTAAGGGAGCTCAAGATATATCTCCTGTCATATGATCGTGCCGGTTATGGAGAAAGTGATCCAAATCCCACACGTTCAGTGAAAAGTGAAGCAATCGATATTCAGGAACTTGCCGATGGGTTGCAACTTGGGCCTAAGTTTTCTGTAATTGGCATCTCCATGGGAGCATGCACAGTTTATAGCTGCCTAAAATACATACCACACAGGTAGACTAATAAACTCAGAAGTTATCTCTGTCTCTACCAAAGGCTTAATTCATCATTGTTTCAAGTTGCATTAATATAGATTGGATTATATATATATTAAATCCGGAGATAGAGTGCCTAAAATTTTAATTTGGAAGAAAAAAGGTTAGGCGAGCAAAGTGAAACTACGTTATAAGTTTAGCGACCAAAAGTGCTTTTATCCCTGCATAAATCACACAGGTATATTTAATTGCTGGGGTCTTGCTTGAAAACTAGCTTGCATGATTACATCTTAATGATAAACTATTACCCAATATCCAACTATATTAAAGCATCAATGATGTTCATTTGTGTTCCTTACAAGCAAATTCTTAAGTTTTTCATTTTTCTATAACTGAAGGTTGTCTGGAGTTGCCCTCGTAGTTCCATTTGTTAACTATTGGTGGCCTTGCTTTCCTGCTAAGCTTGCACGAGAGTCCTTAGAGAAGCTGCTCGTTCAATATCAAAGGACGTTTCAAATTGCACATTATGCTCCATGGTTGCTCTACTGGTGGATGACTCAAAAATGGTTCCCTTCTTTAAGTATCCTGAAAAGTAAGCTGGATGGGTTCAGCCGAGTTGATATGGAGATCTTAAAGCAATCGTCAAAAACTCCAAGAGATGGTCAGGTAGATTTGCCGCTTCCACGTAGATGTACTTATCAAACTGATTAACCTTTCAGTATAGCATGCTTGCCTAAGCTTCAAAATAAATAAAAAGTAGTTTTGTTTCCAAACGGTATTTAACATTTACTTTTCTTACTTTTAAGTTAAAATTACTAATTTGAAATTACCTTTTAAGTTACTGTCAAGCAACTTATTTACCCTTAACTATACTTTTAAAGCTTAGTATAACATGCTCTAAATTGGATCTTTCAGCTTGACATTTCAATACGTAATGAATTCGATGCGCTTCTCCTAGAAGTGATGTGATATTTACTATGATCGACTATATGTATTCCTCTACCCGTAGAATACATGATGGCAAGTTTGGTTTGCATTATTGACTGCACTATACAATGGACAAGATTCTTTAATGCTATCAAGTATTGCCTGATGTATCTTATTAAACATACCACTTTTTCTTATTAAAATAGCCTCCATTTCATCTTTCAGGAAAAGATAAGACAACAGGGTGATCATGAGTCTATACATCGAGACTTGATCGTTGGTTATGGCAAATGGGAATTCGATCCCACAGATATAAGCAATCCTTTTCTGGATAATAAAGAGGTCTCAGTTCACTTTTGGCAAGGATGCGAGGATAAGTTAATACCAATCGAGCTGAGCCGGTATTTGTCCCAGCAACTTCCGTGGATCCAATATCACGAGGTACCCGATGCTGGGCATCTGTTAATCTACAATGCTAGTTTTTGTGAAGTCATCTTTAAGGAACTTGTGTCTACATAAATTCGATACTGTGTAAGATTGTACAGGTTTATGAAATACTTGAGCAACTATGTATATTATATGACTAGGATTTTTAAGCAACTTTTTATATACCAGATGAGTAATTCCTATGTCTTTAACAATATGAAGTTTAATTAATTAAAAACATAGTTGCTTTAGGAATCATGAAGTTCTTGATGAAAGGGCAGTTATTGGTCTATGGTGTTGCAGTTTGCGAAGCCATTTTGAAAATCCTTTTTTCCTCCTCCAAAAGTAACCATAAGTCTCAGATTTTCAAATGTTTTCAAGTTCCTTTACAGAGCCTCCATTTTGCTTGATGTCGACTACTGAAGGCTTGATACATCCTCTAAGCTATTTGCCCTTTTCATTCCCTTGTGCAAACTCGGGTAAATATCGATTTTCGGTTTGCATATTCAATACGTGTTCAAGCCCCTTTTCCGTTTCGAATTTCTCCTCCTCCTCCTCCTCCTCATCCTCATCCTCCTCCTCGTGTTTAAATGTTTTTGGTCTTTTTTCCCTTTTGGTTTTTCATATCAACGGTTAGTGCATATAGTATATGGCTGGATTAAACCATATACGAACAAAGTTTTAATTGTTTTTTTTTTATCCTCTAAGCTATTTGCCCTTTTCATTCCCTTGTGCAAACTCGGGTAAATATCGATTTTCGGTTTGCATATTCAATACGTGTTCAAGCCCCTTTTCCGTTTCGAATTTCTCCTCCTCCTCCTCCTCCTCCTCCTCCTCCTCGTGTTTAAATGTTTTTGGTCTTTTTTCCCTTTTGGTTTTTCATATCAACGGTTAGTGCATATAGTATATGGCTGGATTAAACCATATACGAACAAAGTTTTAATTGTTTTTTTTTTTAATTGTGTATTATCCAATGTTGTTCAATTCTCGCTGTGAATCGTCCTGTTAGTTGCTTGATTTATTCATGTCGTATAATTGATGATTCCTTAGAGCTTGTTTGTTCCACATTTTTGCTCCATTTGTAGAAAAAAATACACCGTTGCCAATCAAATCGGCCACCATTTTTGATTTTTTTATCTCACACAAATTCAAATTCTTTGAAAATAACGGTCATAATTTTTATACTTTTGGCCAAATAATTTGAGCCAAACAGGGGCTTAAGCAAACTCACGTGAATATCGATTTTAGGTTAGCATATTCGTGCATGTTCAAGCCCTTTTTCCGTTTCGAATTTCTTCTTCTTGTGTTTAAATGTTTTCCGTCTTTATTCCCCTTTGGTGCTTCATATTAACGATTAGTGCATGTTCGGTGTGTAGTATATGACAAGATTAAACAATATACGAACAAAAAATTAACTTTTTATTTTGTATTGTATTGTATTGTTCAATTCTCGCTGCGAGTCATCCAATTGATGATCTCATAAATAGTTTTTTTTTTTTTTGATAAAGATCTCATAAATAGTTTGTTTACTAGTGTGTGAAGATAAAAGTGACGTTAAATGATGGATAGAAGTTTCAAAGGATTAAATTTTGTCTCTATCAAAGTTGGAGCAAACTTATTTAACCTCATATTTGGCACCATTTACTTTAATTTAATTTATTTTATTTTTTATACCCATTTTCAATTACACATTCATACAATAAAGTTATTTTACACGTAAATTCAAAAAATACTATTCAAAACAATATTTTTTAAATTTTAAGGATGACAGACACGGGCTAAATTATGTTTCCAAAATAGTTTGTGGCATAAAAATCCTTTTCCTTTCTTAACCTAAATGAAAGCTAATGCACAGTTAAATCGATTTACATTTTACAAAAAAACATCCTAGTATAATGATCTATTCATAGGTCGGACCGATCCATACAATACAACCTACCTATCTTCATACATATTTATTTGATATCGATTAAAATTTTAATTTTAATCAAAGTCAAAGTCAATAATTCATTTCAACCACATATTTTATGGGTCACATTCATCAATTTCTATCAAAATCTATTAAAAATCTAATTTTCATTCCCGCTAAACAAGAGCTCATACTTCATAGAAATTCATGTGCGTCGAGTCCTTTGGTGATAGAAACAAACCCACCCATTAAGTCTTGTACTTATAGCATGTTTGAGAGTAATTATAATGCTACAAATTATGAGTCGTAGGAAATGTACGAATAATAAATAAATAATAATTATAAATTTTACAATTAAACATCTTAAGTTATAATTTAAATTTTGCCTAACATGCTCTTGGTCCATGCCCAACCTGTAGGCTCTGCGCCTTGCCGCCTTTTGCCCACTTCAATCTAACCCGGTTTGTCTAATTTTAACGCGTGCATGCGGTCCGGTTCACCGTAACAAACTCAAATCCCTACGCTGAAAACTCCCTATTTCCCCATTTTCTCCAACCAAACTAGAAGAAATTCAGAGAGAATTTTGTAAAAAAGAGGAAGATTTCGAAATGGAGACGGCGGCTAGAAGAAGCGGAGGTGTTTGGGAAGGACTCTACAGAGTGCTTATGCGCCGCAATTCCGTCTACGTTACCTTTGTCGTCGCCGGTGCCTTCCTCGGTGAACGCGTCAGTATCTTTATATTTCCATTTATATTTATGTGTAGATTGACTCGATTGAATTTGGATCTGGAGAATGAACAATTTCTATTGATATTTCACTAATTTCTCAAAAGTAGTTTTGATGTTAACTGTTGGAGTGTGATTTGGGTTTGGATTGTTAAGGGTTTTCAGATTTCTGTTCTTTTTCTGCTTTCTCAATTTTTTTGCAATCTGGATTTTGGGTTAATTTGATTTGTTTGACTTTGCAGGCGGTGGACTATGGGGTTCACAGGCTGTGGGAGCACAACAATGTTGGGGTATCACTTTAAATCACCATTCTTCAATTTGAGCTGATTTTTTTTTGTTGATTTACATTGTGTGTGGGTGCATACGACTGGGTTCTTGCTTGCATATTATATGAATTGTTAGTTTCAGCGATAGACTGATTCTCAAGTCTGAGATAACATGTCACAACACTGGCATTTGAAACGCTGTTAGGCTGTGGATTGTGTGTACTACTCTGTTCGATAACATCATGTGCTGGAAGATATAATGATGCATATTATTTATAATAAAATTAATTACTTGAATAAACAAACTGGTTTCCGAGAAATTGAACAGATTAAAGTAAGATAATTATCCCCCTTCCGAGTAAGCTATCCCTTTTTCACTTGTTGGGACCAACGTTGAAGGGTTAAAGCCACTAATAAGTTCAGGGTCATTTTGAAAAGTTTGAGAGCTGCATGTATCTTTTACTCTTTAACATTATGTATAGGATAAGGTAACAAATTATGAAACCAAATACACCTGTGTTAAAATCATGGTTTAAAAAACATATAGTAGTGGAAAACAGAGATTAAATTTGGGATGTAGCATAACTCAAGTCGAAGTGGGTTTGAATGGACTTAATAGTTGGTATGACATGGCAGAAATCAATTATCCCCCCATGCCCCAAGTGGCTATGAGCATCATTTTGGATTCCTGTTTCTAAATTAGATTTTGGCATTCATTACAATACATTTGTTTGAACACATTTTCAACTTGTGAGTTACATGTAACAACACAGTTTTATTTATTTATTTATTTTTATGTTATAGTGGCCGTTAAAGTGTCAGATTTACTAAAAAATATTTATAATCTTCAGCGAGAGTTTGTTCACCGACTGCTTGTGCCCTGCAAAATTTTCACATTATTAATGGCAGAGGCACAAGGCAGGGGGTCCAGTGGATGAAGTTTTCCCACTGAATTTTGACTTTTTTATCATTTTTAAATAAACCATCAGCCTCCTTCAACCCCCACCCACCACCTCTACAGCATCACCCTCCACTCACCATTACTTCACTACTACACGTGGCGACGAGCCCAACAACATTCGGCCATTAGGGTATCCCCACCCTCTGGTTCTCACGAACCAGGACAGTCTTCTTGTTCAGAAAATAAATCTGCATCCATTTCTTCGACTAATATATCAACTGAAGAAAGGACACGTGAAATGAAATGGCATATGAAGTGTATTTGTTGCACTGCATCCAACTGAAAGAAAAAAGGAAAAAAAATGGAATTAAAAGAAATCTAGTTTGTGAAACTGTGGGGTTGGAGATACCGTCTGTCGGTGTCTGCAGGGAATCCGTAGTGGATTAGGTGGGTTTGGGGTTGGTGAGCAACTATTTTATATTCTTTTTCATTTGTGTTTTCCTTTTCTGCTTAGTGTTTCTTTTTTGCTTTTCCTTTTTTTAGAGATAGGCGTTGGTTTGCAAAAGTACACTGGAATATGACACTCACAATGTGATGGTAAAACTAATAATCTCCATCTAAATGAAGACCTACGTGCTTATTTCTGGAAGGTTGGGGACTTGGATCCCTCAAAAAATTGACTACGAACTCTCAAGTGCCTTTTTTGAAAGAAAAAAATTCGTAGTTAAGTCTTCCTCCACTGGACAGGAATCTCTCTTCCCCTGCCTATTATGTTTAGTTTTTATTATTGACTTGCATCACCTTTTTTGTCATGCTAAGTGTCGTTTACAATGCTGAGTACTAAGCTTTTTTTTGCTCAATATGACATTCATGGACTTTTGCTCAGGAGTTCATTAATTTCTGACTAAATTTTACCACAACTGCAATACAGAAGCGTTATGAGGATATTCCAGTTTTGGGACAGAGGCCATCAGAATGAAGTAGCATTTTCCAACTCTCTATCTGGCTTGGTTTTCTTAGCCTCGATTTGTAGCTTGCATTTTGATTTTTCTCTTAATAATTGTTACGTTGTTGAAACGTACAGGCTGTGAGCCTGTGGATTTGTTCGAATTATAAGATGTCAAATTTGCCGTACTTTGCTTTTATCACATTACAAGTTTCTTCCTGTGAAATTCTCTGATTTGAGTGTTAATTTCAGTACCAAGATATGTATTGTTAACATTATTGCATTTATATCTAGTGATCTTGACATTAAAAAGAGGCTAGAAGCTCTTTAAATATTTTTGTAATTG